TATATATACTTTTTGCCTTATATACACTACCATTCAAAAGTTTGGGTTCAGCAAGCTTTTTAAAGTTTTTAAATATTTTGTATTCTCTTATGCTCACCAAGGTTGCATTTTTTTAATCATAAACACAATAAAAACAGTCAAATATTATTAGAATTTAAAGTAACTGGTTCATATTTGAATATATTTTAAAATGTAATTTATTACTGTGATGCAAAGCTGAATTTTCAGCATGATTACTCAAGTCTTCAGTGTCAAATGATCTTGTTCTGCTTAATTCAATTATTTAAAGCAGATCTTTTGTAAATGTCATTACTGTCACTTTATCAATTTAATGCATCCTTGCTGAATAAAACTATTTCTTAAAAAATATTACTGTCACCTAACTTTTGAATGGTGCTTTATGTATCCTATATACAGCAGTATTTGTTCATATCACGTTTGTTTGATTTTAATCATTTAAAGCCCTAAAAGTTAGCCGAAGCAAAAGTCCCTCATGATCAGTTTTTCATAATAAATAAATACGTTCCACAGCTGTTTTAGAGTAACGTCGTCAGCAGACAGTAAATGCGGAATAACTAAATGAACAGTGAAAGATATAATGACGCTCCTTCAGCTCCAGATTTGCTATTTGGCTGCTTTGATTTGAATGACGGCTCATGAGCTTCTACGCAATCTCCAGGCGGCTGATGAGGAAACAATGGTCATGTTTCTTTTTCTTGGCCCACAATCTATTTTGAATTCCCACGATCCCTTGCGGATTTGACGTGGCACATAAGAGACTCTGAGAAACGCCTGGCCGTCTCGAGCGCTCAGATCTTTTTGAGGACTGCAGAAATTTTGCCGTGACTAATGTGTCTAATTTCAGATCCAGGAAAAAGACTCCAGAATAGCTTATTACTGCGGCAGGAATCCACTGGAGATAGCAAATCAAAGAAAACATCCAAATGAAACTGAATTTGCTAGAGTTAAATAAGAACAAGTTTTGATGTGTGTCATGACAAAGCCGCTTACGGTCAAACAAAGAGCCGCGATTGCGTTGGCTCAGATTTCGCATCTTTAAGTAACAGGATATTTAACTCGCTTTTTTTATTTGTGCTTTATGTCAAAGCTATAAGCCCACCACTGTAAACAGCCTGTTTGGGCTGATTGGCCCACAGCAAGACTCGACCTACTGAATACAAAACTTCTCATGGTGTTGGCTAATGTGTTTTTTAAGCTGAGGTAAACGTCAGAGGTTATTGGAGGCTCTTTCCCATTAGGATGTCATTTATCCTTGGTGAATGTGTATGAACACATAACTTAACGTCTGAATATGCACAGAAGTCTATGTGTTTTTTTTCCCCCAATTAAAAAAATTAAATAAATGTAAATAAAAAAATAATACAAATTAGTATATAAATGAATATTATATATATATATATATATATACAGTATATAATTACGTAGAATGGTATATTTTTATCATTTTAAAAAATATTTAAATGTACATCATTTTGATGTTTTTATAATAATGTTTGTTATCATTGTTTTGATGGTACATTAAAACATAAGAATACATATTAACACTGAAGTATAAATAACTCAAATATTTATATATATATATAGGCCTATATATATGTAAAAAAACTAAATCACCAAAATACATCAGGAAAAGATACAATGATACCATATATATATATATATATATGTGTGTGTGTGTGTGTGTGTGTGTATCCATTGTTTTGATGGTACATTTACACATGAGCTGAAGTAAATTTGGAAAGATTTTTTATTTAAAAATTACTTTTATTTCAATCTAATTTGATCATATTTACAATATGTTTACAATAAGTTTCAAATGCATTTTGGCCAAAAAAAACTTTTTTTTTTTTTAACCATGTCGAAACGGTCCTTCCTAAAATCCATTCTCAAATGTTCAGTCGTAATTCTAAAGTGGTGCATCTATTATTCTGCGTTGGAATACCACCTGTAATAAAGTCATCCATTCATGATGGCAGATTACGGGTTATTATCTTCATTAAAGCAGGACAAACTCGCAGCTTCTGTGCTGACAATGATTAGGCGGAGAGGAAGAATCTGACACTAACCTCTGGCTGACACCTGCAGCTTGATCCGCTGCCAAACGGAGGAGTTAGCGGCTAGTTACGTAGCTGCCATGGAATGGGAACGCACAATGGCTTAGCTTGTGTTAGCATGAGACTTCACCTACAACATGAAGAGAAAATAAAAGAGAGAAAGAGGAATAGCTGTAGTTTGACACGCTTCTGATTGAAAGCACAATGACAAAAACCTGTTGCACCACACGCTCCTACTCTCAGTGAGATAATGTAATCATCACCTGTCACTTCTGTGGAAAGTTAAAACCAGGTATGAAAACTAATTTGACGTGCTTTCTATGTTTTGATCCAGGACTCTGGCAAGGCTGTGTCTCTGGGCTTGTGGATGGAGGAGATGATCTTCAACTTGGCTGATTCACGTCTGTTTTTCAACGACCTGGAGGTGAGCAAAACCTCAGAATCAACAAAATCACTTAGGATTTAATGCCAAACACACTTTTTTTGGACTTCAGCATTAGATGTATATTTAAATAATCAGAAAAAATGGTGCCAATTATAAAAATACAGATACATTTAAGTTTTATAATTTAAGAAGAAAGAGCGGAAAGTGATATGTATGGAAGTTTGTTTCCACATGGGATAAAAATTTAATAATTCTCAGAAAAAAAGTCAAGATATAAACTCAATTGCAACATTCAAATATAAGGTAACTAAAATAAAAAGTTGTAATTGTGAGATAAAATCTTGCAATTAACTTTTTATTTTTTTATTCAACGGCATTTAAAAACGGAAACTTTTTCTCAGAATTGCAATTTACAACTCTTTTTTTAATAACTCGCAGTTATTAAAACTCACAATTCTGAGGGGGGGAAAAAATAAAAAAGTTGGGGGGAAAAAGTCAAAATTGTGATAAAAATGTATAACTTTATAACTCGCAATTCTGAGAAAAAGGTCTGAATTGTGAGATATAAACATGTATTTACCTTTTTATTTTATCTCTTCTCTTTGGCAGAAAAAACTTCTATAGATATGAGACACGAACGTTGATGGTCAATTCGTAAATAAAAATAATTTTACGCAGAATGTTGTGATTGGCCAATCAGAATCAAGTATTCCAGAGCGCCACATAACAAACTTCTCTTATTGGTAGGAATCTGCTCCTCTTAGATTCTCCAGTAGAACACCGGTCAATCATAAAGCTCTACGTATTCCCCGCTCCTCATGTCTTCATTTGTTAATTATTTTTGCTAATTTGATGCCATTATGACAGTAGTAGTCTCTCTTGAATTATACATGTTCTACCATATTTAAATTAGTTCCTGCTGGGATTTTTTTTTTTTTCCAGAACTCCATGTGATGACACATGCATGTAATATTCCTCACATTAAACCACCCCAACAAAAATATGAGGAACAAATCATCTGTCCTCATGTTTTTGTGACAGCTGCAGAAACTGGCCGTGCTGCTTGTCACAAATATGCAAAGAAACAGCTAAATAATTCATCAAAAAGACTAAATTAAAAATATGTACACTGCCATTCAAAAGGTTTTCAAGCATTTTTTTAAAGAATGTAATAATTTAATTCAGCAAGAAATCAGCATTAAATTGATCAGAAGTGACACTAAAGATATTTATAATGTTTCAAAAGATTTCTATTTCAAATAAATGCTGCTCTTTTGAACTTGAAATTCATCAAAGAATCCTGCAAATAAAAATGTCTCACGGTTTCCACAAAAATATTCTGCAGCACAACTGTTTTCGACATGGATAATAATCAGAAATGTTTCTTGAGCAGCAAATCAGCATATTAGAATGATTTCTGAAGATCATGTGACACTGAAGACTGGAGTAATGATGCTGAAAATTCAGCTTTGATCACAGAAATAAATTACATTTTAACATATATTCCTATAGAAATAGTTATTTTAAACTGTAATAATATATCACTGTTTTTGCAGTATCAAATAAATGCAGCCTTGGTGAGCAGAAGAGACTTCTTTCAAAAACATTAAAAAGCTTGCAAACTCCAAACTTTTGAACAGTTGTGTATATAAGGCAAAATGCATATTTACAGGTGGGTGGTACGAAATATCGATTAGTTATTTGAATTCAGTACTGTTTATGCATTAAAGTGTCTGTTCAACAGTCCATGACCTGACAACCTCGGTTTGCCCTCTGCATGAAGAAAGGAGGGATTAGATTCTCTAAAAGCTTTCGAGGAGGTGCAGCAGAAACCCTGACAACACCTGAGGCCTTAATTAGGGGTGTGTGGCTGCCACTGAAAAGAAAATTTGTCCCGGGGAGGAACAACAGCCCAGGGGTGGAGGGCGCACACACCATTATTTCTTGAGCAGGTTTTAATGATGGCCCACTCTTGTTCTGTTTTCCCTGTAATTGCCCTCAAATAGACCAAGACATCATTGAACATTCAAACACTGAGAGTTCAGTCTATTCAAACGTCAGCTGGGGAACAGAAAGCTGCCGCGGGCAAAATAACTGCACAGAAATACATGTGATCAATGGCCTAACTTGCTCATGCATTTAATGCGATAATTAATCAGAAAAAAATGAAATTAATGTCTGGTAGAGAGTAGCAGAATAGATTGCAAAAAAAAGAGTGAGAAGCAAAATATTGGTAAATTTGTGACCATCTCTGTACATAATTAAAAAAAGTAAAAAAAATTAAAATAAAAAAACGTAAAAGCAGTGGAATTATTTTATTATATTATTATTTATTTATTATTTTTTACTAGAAATATTCTGAGAAAATTTAAATGTTTGGTAGAGAACGTATCTGAGTAGCAGAAAAGTTATAATGAAATTGGTGATTGAAATTAAATTAATATTTTTATATTCTTTTAAATTTTATTCACCAAAAATCCTGAAACACAGTGAAAGCCTATTCCCATTTAAAAAAAAACACACACATAAAAGCAGTGTATATTAATTAGTAAATACACATATATACATATATATATATATATGTATGTATGTATGTATGTATGTATGTATTATTGATTTAATTTCATTGCAATTGTTTTAAATCTTTCATTGATTTTTACTAGAAACATCATGAAAAATTAAATTATTGTTTGGTAGAGTTGGCTAGAAAAGGTAACTGAGTAGCAAAATAGTTATAACGAAACTCGTGATTGAAAAGGGTTTTTTGTTTTTAAATAAATTAATATTTTCATTCAGCAAGGACACATTAAATTGATACCAAAGATATTTGTTTAAAAAAATGATATTTCAAATAAATGCTGTTCTTTTGAACTGTATTAATCAAAAATCCTAAAAAAACAAAACAAAACAAAAGCAGTGTATATTGTTTAGTAACTATATATAAATTTAGTAAAATATACATGTATCTCTTTATTGATTTAGTTGTATTATATTATTGCAATTGTTTTATATCTTTCATTGATTCATGAACTTTATTCATTAAAAATCCTGGAAAAAAAAATCACTGTTAAAGTAATTTTATTATAAAAAAAAAAAAGAGAGAAAAAGAAAAATGAGAAAATCTAGTTATAATTACAGTAATTTAAGAACAATAGAAGTCAGTGGGAGGTCGGCAACTTGATATCATTAAGATAAACATGACGTGTTAAGTCATATCTGTGAAAATATGAAAAACAACAAGAGAGCATTAACGTGTTTTGTCAGTGCTGAAGGCTGAGTAATTGTTTTGTGAATTTGAATCCAAATTTTTATCAAATTTACATGTGTTGCTAAAATAGCAAATCGAAGCACGCAAGATAATGATCTGGAGTAAAGAGCAGATGTTCAGCTTATGCATCGCCCACCGCAATTAGTGTATATTGGCAGTCGTACGCACAAACCCAGCCAAGACAAAAGCGTTAATTAACGTCCAATATCGGGTTTAGATGGTGTTCTGTCTGCCTTCTTTCTGATATTTTACCCTCCGGCGTTAAAGGCGCCTTCATGTCTTGGATCGCAGTGGCCTGGTTTTGCTTTTTTGTTGTTCGTCGTTTTTAATATTTCACTCTTGCTCTCACCATCGTTCCCCGAGGCTCGGCGGCGGGTGAACCTGTCTATACACAGTACATCATTTTACACGGCTGTAACGTATATCCGCCTCATGCGTATCTGCTTTCCTTTCATTTCCCAGGAATGTGACCAAGTTCATATCGATGATGTGGCCTCGGATGACAATGGGCAGGACTTGAGGTAGAGTATGACTTTCCTTCATCTTGTGAAGCGAGCAACAATATGAGCATTTCCAATAAAGCAGATGCTATGTTCCATAAAGGGATCCTGTTCTTCATGCCTCTGACATTATTGAGTATTAAACGTCGTTGGTTTTTATCATAGTTTTGAGGCAAGCCCTCGCTCTGCTTCCAGACTTTTTATGATGGACATTAATCACACCTTTAAGAGCACGTCTACAGAGTTATTAAAGGAATGGTACTCTGAAAATGACATTTCTGTCATTATTTACTCACCTTTTTATTCCAAACCCTTATTAATACTCCAAAATAAAAGCACTATGAAAGCAGTCTATATCATTTAGTGAATATCTTTTATTTTATTAAAAAAAAAAATTGTATTCATTAATTACTATAAGCTGATCATGAAAAAGCAGCAGGAATGTTTTTTTAAAAAGCTCCACAATTAGAAAAATACTCAGAAGAGTACTATAAACGCAGTCTATATGATTTTGTAAATGTTTTATTTTTAATTATTTTAAAATATTTTATTGATTTTTGCTGAAAGCATCTTATTTCTGTCTTATTTACTGAATTTCGTTCAATCTATTTATTTACTATGAACCAGTGGTGTATGAAAAAGCAGCAGGAATATTTTTAAAAGCTCAAAAAATACTCAAAGAAAAAAAAAGTACAATAAAGGCAGTATATATCATTTAGTAAATGTCCTTTTTTTTACTGAAAAGATAATTTCAGTTTACTGAATTTAAATTTTATTGATTTAATTTACTTACAATGAACTGAAGCTATATGAAAAAGCAGCAGGAATACTTTTTCAAAAAGCTCTGTAAGTACAAAAATACTCCAAAATAAGTACCATAAAAGCTATGTGTATGATTTATTAAATGCCTATTATTTTAATTCATTTTAAAATATGTTTTACTGAAATGTACTTTATTATTATTACTTATTTATTTATTTACTGTGAACTGATGCTAAATGAAATCAGGAATATATCTTTTTTTTTTAAAAGCTATATTTATTTTAAAATCTTTTATTGATTTTTACTAAAAATATCCTATTTCATTTTTACATATTTTGTTAGTTTATTTAAGAATATTTTATTGAAATTTTTTCTTTTTCAATTTATTTATTTACGTACTTAATATGAACTAATGCTATATGAAAAAGGAGCACAAACTTTTTTTTTTTAATTCCTTTTGTGGAATGACATGAGGATGAATAAATAATGGCACAATTTTCAGTTTTAGGTGAACTATATCTTTAACATAATGGCATGCTGACATACTGGTTATTAAACACTATAGTTTCTTATCACAGTTTGTAGGCAGACTCTCGCTCTGCTTCCTGACATTTTACGATGGCCATTAATCAGACTTTTAGGAGCGTGTCAGGAGAAACAGTGTTTGGAGGTGTAGAGCGGATCTAAAGCTGTGTGTCTGTACTTGCAGCACGTATAACTTTGGCTCGGATGGCTTCCAGAGCCCAGCAGGTGGAGGCACGCTCTGCCTGGGCTCAGGTGTTCACGGTGGGGTCGACTGGATGAGGAAACTCGCCTTCCGCTACCGCCGAGTCAAAGAGATCTACAACACCTACAAGAACAATGTAGGAGGTGAGAAGAGAACACACCCCTGCTTTCTGCTTTCACAGCTGTGAATTCAAGCATGATTAGGTCCTGAAATGACTAGTACACAACAGATAGATCCTGTCCTCAAATCTGATTGGTCGAACCATGTTTGAAGCCGTTGTGAAATAGTACAGGTGCATGACATGTAGCCACACGCACCTGTAGCCACACGTCTGTTTACATCCATATTAATGCATCAACTGTAAACACTGTATATGTGTGTGTACATATATATA